TTGTAAAATATTTTGATATTTTTCAATATCTCAATAAAGATATATTAAAGTGACATTATTGTGAGTTAAAAATATATATATATATATATTTTTCAAAACAATATACTATATTGCATTTGAAACTCTATTATTGATATTATAATTCTGTTGTTTATTACTTTTTTATTTTTTAGAGCTTTGATAACTATATTGATTTCTTTCAACATACTTTCCTTAAGTTTAACTATAGCCTTTTGATTGTTTATCCAGATTTCTAGGAATCTTGCTTATTCAGTCTATCTAGTTCTCTAACTATTTCTTTGTTGATGCTTGCTTGAATCTTTGCTGAATATTGATTAGAATTATTAATAGTAACTAGTATTAATTTATTACTATTGATTTGGATGTCATTTACCTTATAGAAATTTCTTATTTCTTTCAGAATTTTTTCTGTCTTTTTTGGATCTAGCAATTTATATAGTATTATTAATAAAGGTAATAAATGCATATCGAAACTTCAGTTTTCTTATAGTATTTTTTATTAGATTTGAATATCAAAAGATTGTTATTTTATATTCTTATCTTTTATTGTTTTGAATCTTATATAGAAAAAAGTTATAAAATATTCTTCACATCAGAGAGAAGATAATTTTCTCTTAATTGATTCCATCTCTTACTATTGTTGGACTTATTAGATTGTTTTTATAAATAACTCTAAACTTCTTATTTTGAAACAGATTTATTATTATATTAATAAAGCCAGCTAGAATTTTAATTCTTTTTATTACTTTTTTTAATATATCTAGACTAATAGTATTATATATATTAGTTATATCTTGAAAGAGTATCCAGAACTTTTTTTTATTCTTTTGTGTATCTTCACAGATATTGTTGGAGACCTAAATATTTTTTACTATATTTTTATTAGAAGATTATATATAGTTGGAATCTCTAAGAATATTATTAATCTTATAGATATTTTCCAATCTGTTAGTAAGGATTTTTGTAAAATATTATTTTGTTATTTCTAGCAAAACCATGGTTTTGTGTTTATCAGATCCTATTCCCACAACTTTGGTTTTGCAATTAGATAACTATAGCTCTATTTTTATCATATTGAAGTTATTTTCTATCTTAAAAAATTGTTGAACATTTTTCAAAGATATTCTTTTCCTTCAGATCTTAATCTCTTCAACATTTTATAATTGATCTATAATTTACTCAGTGCTTTATTGTTATGGAATATTTATAGTATTTCATTTAATTTTTTTTAAAATTGACTTTAAGAGATCTTTATACTATATCTCTTTAATATAGTTTCTGGACTTATATTCTATTTTCTAATTACTTGTTAGTTTATTAAAATCAATATACTTTTTGAAAATATCTTGATGATATGTTCATATCTCTTCTTTTACCTTTTCTTTTTTAATTGTTATATATTCAGATTTATCTTCCTTAATTTTAATTCTATCTAATACTATTTTAATTATTTTTCTATTTGTTAAAGAGCTTACTATTCATTTTAGATTGGTTCTCAGATCTTTATATCTTTATTCAAAGACTAAATTAATTTCATCCCTTGTTTTTTTTTCTTCCAGTTTTTGATATACTGTACTAGCTTAAGATCTTTTATTACATTTTGAATATAATTTTTTAATAATGTCTAGTATCTTTTTTATTTAAAGTTAATATTAAAAAGTGTTTTTTATTTTATTTTTTTGAAGTCTACTATGTTTTTGTTGCTTAGTTAAAAGTGTCTTTATAAGTTTTCCAAGAAAATTATCAAAAAAAGAAAATTTTTTGAAAAAAATATAGATTAGTAAAAAGAATTTATATAAAAATAGTTATTTTTTTTTATTTTTTTTTTACCCTCTATTAGGTTAATTATATATGTTTATTAAACATTAATATACTATATATATAAAATATGTTACTAAAGCTAAATCTCTAATTAGCTCACTTATCTTAATTATTACTACTCTAAATATAACTTCAAAAGTAATTTATCACTTCATTAGTAGCTCAGGTAAAAACCCTTCTAACTACTAATTTTATTATCTACAGATTACTACTGTAAATTCTTCTTATGAGTTTGGATAGAAGTTAAAACTCTAATCATATTATTCCATATTTTACTCTTTCTAAAAAAGTTTATTTCAGACCCTTGTCTTCAAGTTTTTCTTTTTCTTGCAAGGACCTTTTCATAATTGTAATCTTGTTGTTCTAATTTAAAGAATCAGTTAATCTTCTTATTTTGTCTTATCTATAGATCTCTTGTGCTTATTCTCACTCAATAATTATTGAGCACCTTTCATTTCAGATTTTTTTTTTAGAATTGATTGCAAATCTTCTTTTGTATCTTAATTATCCACTTTTGAGCTTCTTTACCTATTCTTTTCTAACAACATTTTAGATTTGATATTTTTAATATCTAATCACTTTGTATTAGTCCATGCAAAAGTTTAACATATTCTGATCTGTTTCTATAGTTTTTTTTATAAACCTGGCTATATATTTGTTCAATTCTCCTAATTCTAATTTGTCTTTAACCAGAAACCTTATTTCTTTCTCTTCAATCTCTTTTTTTTCTATTATGTAAAAGTTTTTAAAAGTCTTTTAGAATGTCTTCAATTTCTTTGTTTTATATTTCTTGCCATTAGACTTTATATACTAGATATTTTAATAGATGTTCTATTGTTTCTACTTGTTATTTGCATACTATATACTCTATTTGTTTATATAAATCTAGTTTTCTTATAACTAGTTTGAGAAGTATTGATAACTCTTTATTGATTAATTTAATAATAAAGTGAGAATCTTTAAAGAAGGTATTCCAAGTATATCTATTCTTTATTTTTTTCTATATCAAATCCTATATATAGTCATATTGATCTTAAATCTGTTGATTCCATTTATTTGAAATTTTGTTTTGTTTTATCTATTAATGAACTGTAATTTTGCTATTTATGTTTTTAATAAACTGTTTTATAGAATTATTTAAAGTTATTTCATACCATTTGATTTTGATAATAATTTTGGATGAAGAAAGGTTTTTCTATTTGATTATAGGGAGCATTAAGACTTCCTTTGTTAAAGTATCTATTTCTTTATTGTATAGGTCATTAAAGTATATTTTGATCTTGACTAGTTTCAAATTCAGCTTTTTTTTTTAACAATATCCAACATTTTTGCTCACAGAAACTAGTTTTTTTTCTTAAATAATCTTTTATAAGTTCTTTTGGTATTCTTTTTCTCTATTATTTTCCATTTGGCAATATAAGCTTGATTTATTTATAAAAATCTTGATCTTATTATTTATTTGGCCAACTAATAATATTGTGACTATTGCTACTAGTTCTAATCTAATAGATGATAACCAGTTATCTACTTCTATTTGAAATTTACTTTCTCTACCCTTTCTTTTTACTTGCATTTATACTATTTTCATCTTTATTTTTTTACTTTTATGATTGATAAGAGATTTATCAGAATAAAAGATCAATGTTTTTTGAACTGTTAATTACATTGAAGTATTTTATTAGGTAGTCTTGATATATTTCTTTTTTATATTAATTTTGATAATCTGTTCTCTCTAATTTTCTCTGTTTATTTAACTTACTCTACTGTTTAGATTGAATTTATAATTATCTTGGATTGGATTTTCTATTGTTCATTTTAGAACTATTTTGGAATTTAAAATATTTAACTGTTGAGTTCTTCTTATGGATTTTCTTATGTTTAGATAGGAAATTTCATATATTCTATTTCTTTTTGTCTCTATTATATATTGACTCTTTATATTTTTATTTTTTGTATATCTTAAACATTTTATTAAGCAGGTTTTTTTATTATCTAAAAACTTAGTACACTTGAAATATTCTATTTGTATACTTGCTTAGTGTCTTTCAATTTTAACTTTTTTTATATTATTTTGTGATATCTATTGTTTATTACTATCCAGAGTATTTATCTTCTATCATAATCTGAATTTATTTTTGTAATTGTTGATTCCTATTTTGATCAATATTCTTTCCAAAATTTTGTAAGCTATTTTGATTTTCTTTCTTATATACCTTTTTTTATTGATAGATATTATTTTGAAATGGATTTCTTACTGGTTTTTTGAATTAATTAAATCATTTGTCATTTTTTTAGTTCTTTAGTTTCATGAGTAATTAGTTGATTTATGTATATCAGTTTATTGTTTTTAAGTAATAATATAGTTTTCATATATTTATTTGATACTAGATACTTTTTGATTGAGCAGTTACCTTTGTTCTATTAAAAAATGTCTTATCATTTCTAGCTTTAAAACCTTATTCCTATATCTTTAGTCAGCTTCATTACTTGAAGTTTAAAGTTACATTTATCTGACATATTATTTAATGATTCACAGATAAATATATAAATTAAGTGATTTTCAATATTTAACTTGTACTTGTTTGATTTTGATAACTGTTGTAAATTCTATTAATCCTGAGTCATTTAGTTTGTTATATAATTCTATTATTTGATTTTTCTTTTGTAATATCCAAATATTCTTTAAGTAAGTTATAGATTTTTGAATAGTATATTATATTATTGAATATAGATCTATACAAGTTACTTTTGTTTTAAGAAACTTTTTATATGCTATAGTTAAAGTGTTGTACATTTTTTGGAATAGTATGCTATATTGTATATAGAACTTTATTTAAAATATAGAGTATTTGATTATCAATCAATCTTTTATTCTTAATTTTATTTTTATGCCAAAGTCACTTTGAAACAAATATTATAATATTTCAATCAGCACAAAAACTTGTAAGTATTTGTAAAATCCATTATTTTATCTCTAATAATTCAAGGAAAATCACAGTTATCTAGTACTATTTCCATATTAAAAAATTTTTATAATAATTATTCTTGAAATTTTTTTTTATTTCTATTATTTTAGTTAAATAAAATTTTATTCATAATTTTATTTTATTTTAAATAAATTTTATAATAATAAATTTTTTATTGCAATATAAAAGTTTATGAAAAGTAAAAGTTTAATATATATTACAATTAAAAATTAAATTAAAATAGATAAGCTCCTCAAATAGATAAAAAAAAAGTATTGTAATAAAATATTTCGTATTAAAAAAAGGTTTAAAAGTAAATTTTTAGAAAAAGTTAAATAATTATATTTATTATTTTTTTTTTTTTTGTTACATTTGAATATTTTTAATATATTTTCTTTTCTTTTTTTTTTTTACTTCAATATTTATACTATTTTTTATATTTTAATGGCTTGATAAAATATAAAATAATAATCATTTGTCAATAATAATTAGAAAAGTAATTAATTAAAGTTTATTATAGAACAAAATATTGTTTTCAAGATCAAACTTAAAATTTTTATATTTATTATGAATTAGTTAAAATTGATTTTATATTTAATTATAATATATATTATATAGTTTGAATAAATATATACTTTTGTATTCTTTTGATTAATAAATTAGCAATCTAGTTTGATTATAGGTAATACAAAAAAAATAAATATAATTATTTATATTTAAATTTTAATCATTTTTTATAAGATTAAATTAATTTATATTTTAATTTTATAAAATCAATAAACTTTAAATAATAGATAATAAAAAAAATTAATTTATTTTTTATGTAAAAAATTTTTTACTTCTATTAATTTATTAAACAAAATTCTTTAACAATTATTAATTTTTTTTTTTTTATTATAATTAAGATAATAAATTCTATAAGTTTTATTAAGTATAAAGATTTCATAAGCAGTAATTTAATGGTTAATATATTTTTAATTTATCTGGTTTATAATTTCTTGTTATTTAATAACTTAATAAAATATTCAGTAGTAATAATAATGCATGAATTATTTAATTTAAAAGATTAAACTTAAAACTTTAATACCAATGATAAGCTAGTTACCTATAATTAGGCTATAGCACGTACCATGCATGCTATTCGAATGAATGTACACAGTATGTATTTTTTTTTGAAAAAGAAAATTACCGTTTTAAAAAAAAAAAATAATAAGCGCGCAGCAATCAGATGTTAATAATATCGAATACTTTGCTATTAATACATTTTACTAAACAAATCGTATTCGAATCAAATGAATTAAAAAGCCAAAAACGTACGCAATATACTATAAATATCACAATCTGCAATTCGAACGTTAAGTTCAATTAAACAACTTTCCTTAAGATGTCAATTGAACTAACGTTTTTTTCCCTCCAATTATATTATTTGGGTTTCATTCGAGTATGTTGATCAAAATTTTTTGCATACCAATTGATATTTATTAAATATCTCGCAAACATTACTACTAATGATATGGATTTCGGTATTTACAATGTTGAAGGTATTTGCATTCATGTTTTTTGTCAATCGCGCTCCGCTCTGGAATTTCTTTAATCAGACATGACAAAATTCGATGATTAATAGGTGTAACCATTTAGAGGCGATTTCTCGAGAATCTCCTTTATTTTTGGAGTTTAACTATGACAGAATTGTCCAATTCCTATCGTATGACTTAATTAGCGTTAAATAATTTCTTATTACATTCTTCTTTTTTAGTCTGAGTAGAAAAAAATTTTCACTTTTTACCGTAAAGTTAGGCCATATCATACTTTGTCTCTTAAGCAACCTGAAATGTTTCGGAAAATGAATTTCAAAGTTTTGATAATCTTTCTGGTGACTTTAACAATAATTTGTCCTCAGAATACTATCGCCGCTGTCACTTCTTCCATTCCAATTTCGGGCACTATCTCAAATGCTGGCAAGATACCTCCAACACCTGCCGATGATTTACCAAATCAGAGTACTGGTGTCATAAATTCATTTCCTATCGTCAGTTCAACTTCCAGAGACATAAATCCAAGTTCGACTGTTAGTAGTACTTCGACCTCCATGTCATCGAATGCAAATAGAATTGGGAGTGGAGTTTTTGGGATTAGCGTTATTGTTGGCGTGTTCGGCTGGTTCATTGGAGTAAATTCGTTATAAGAAATTGTGCGTCGTTTAAAGATGGAGATGAAATTTAATTGCGAAAAGTTGCAACTGAGTAAACTTTTAATTTTAATATAATAATTTACAAATTACAATGATGTCTATAGCGAGGTAATGTCCGTTTTTGTCAAACAACTATTGTTTGTGTGATATAAGTATTAATGGTTGGATTCAAGGCAATTTATTTAAATGAATCTCTGTCATTTAATGCTCACAAAAAATTGGTATTTTCATCGACCACGCAAGTTAATAGTCTAATATCCCAGTTCCGGTATCAACTTCATTCATATCATCTGGTTCTAATTTATAATGAAGAGGTTATTTAGATAGAGAAATTTAAATTCGTTTGAAGTGCAATTTTTTTTACCATTATCAAAATATTTTTCTGAAATAATATTTTGTCGTTAGCATGCAGAACGAACTGACAAGATTTACATGAATCTTTGTTGCAGTACTAATTACGTACCTTGAATGTCCTCCTCTTCAATTTTGATGTCATCATAATCTTCATTGAAATCCACGGTATCATAGTCAAAATATGACTTTATAAAATAGACGGAAGCACATTAGAAATCTTGCATCGTGAAGTTCAATGATGCAACAGAAAGGCTTACATCATTTCCCGATATAAATTTTTCCCGCATTATATCAATAAGGTCCGTTCTTAGTTGTTCTTTTTCCTCGTCTGATATCTGTGGCCGCTCAGGTTCTAATGTCGTTCCACTTTCATCTTTTACGCCACTATCGGAATTCTCCGATGGCTCTTGCATCACCGTCGAGTGTTCATGTATTTGCGAGTTGCTAATAGTCTCGGAATCCCTGCGTTCATTTTTCGTCCCTATCTCATCCATTTCTTCCTCATCATCCTCCTCTTCTTCAAATTGTTCCTCATGCAATCTTTTCTCTTCTTCCAATCTATCATTTATATAACTCTGATCTAAGTAATATTAATGCGAATCAGTGAGTAATATACGCACGAGTCATAATGATAAATAATCCACACACTTTCTAGCATTTAACCTCCTCGTAGCAAACTCGACAAAAGAGTGATTTTTCAAATCAATGAAATTCATTATTGACATATTGAAAACCCAAATAATATCCTACCGATGTCATATAACATTCGGTCCACTAGATCAACGTTATCGGCGAATGGTGGATATCTTATCTCATCAGGTATGTATTGACCCACATAATCTTCATACAACGAAGGTTCGCGATATTCCATGGCTTCATCACTAAAGTATGAACTATTATCAAGTCTAGTTGTGAGATACCGATATCTCCTGTTTAGTATCTTTTTATTATGACGAGCTTTTGGGTGCAGATCTCGAGAAACTGATAAAGGCGTGGATTTTTGTAGCTGGTTCAAATGCCAATTGACCTCATAGTCGGCTACGAAGAATAATTGTGAGCTGTTAGAGAGGTGAATGTTTAAGAAAAGAAGGCTTTTCATCAGAAAAATGAATCTTCAACTCGTTCTTTAATCTTAAACCGCCCACCTCTTAATCCTTCAAATTTAGACAATTGATCCTTTGGCAAATACTTCCCCCACTTTGACAGAAACAACGCTGGATCATCCAGAGTTTGTCTCATATAAGCCAGTTTCTCATCATCGCCTGGCTCTTTTTCATTCTCCTGTAGAGATTTAAAATGGATGGTAGATAGGTTTTCTTTTATGTATTGCAATAATTCTTCTTTTGAATTTGATTCCATAATCAAAAGGTTTGCGTTTTGATTTTAGAATGCTCATACCGTATTTATATTATTAATCTGCCCAACAACGTGACATCCTTAAGCCAGCATTTCTGATTGCCAATCAATAGAAGAACCATGAGAAAAAACAAATACAGTAATAGTTTTGGAACATATTTATTAACGGGAATTCTTCATAATAAGATTATATTAAACATCAAAATTCATATAACGACGAAAAAAAATTTTTTTTTTCTTTTTACGCTGTCGAGGTTTATAATAAATTTGTTTCCGTTATACAATATCGAGTTTCACTGCACACCATCTACGCAATATTACAATTTGCAGCACATATCAGAGTCGACAAATTCGATAAAATTAATATTAAAAAGTTCATTTTCAATGCACGTCATCTGCGTATAGTACGCGCAATGTCTTTTAAGTCTTCAAAGGTCTCGATCGTTTTTGTTCGAAAGAATTTTATTATAATTTTATAAGCAACGTAAGCATTTTTAATTAGTAGCTTATATTTGCAGTTAGTTACTGTGTAAACAGCTTTAGTCAAGTTGATTAAAAAAAAAAAACAATATCGAATTGAAAAAAATTGAAAATAAAAATTTAATGTTTAATTTTGAATAATGTCTAGAATGTGCGCAATAGCAAATTTCATTTCCTATTTATAGGTTAACTAAATAAATAAATGTAAACGTAACGCCGCCAACTTCAATTTATCCAAACTTCCTATTATTATTATTCTTTCTCTTAGCAGCCCCCGGATTTCTTATTGTTGGGGTACGGGTGGGTTGAGTATTAAATTGAGTATTAAATTGAGTATTAAATCTCATGTTTTGTTGTTGCTGCTGTTGTTGTTGTTGCCTTCTGAACGTCGCCTGTTAATACAATAAATGTTTCAGAATTACGTGTAACAATGTATAAATTAAAAGTGAGAGATGAAATAAATTGTACCTCAATTTGTTCAGTGATAAATTCGTATGCAGAATAAGCATGAGCTACAAGTAATTCATCGGGGAATCGATCGTCAATTAACTTTTGAGGAACAGAGAGTGGCCACAAATATAAGGATTCCTCGCTAAAATAAACGTTTAGAGGGAACGTTTCTTTTATAGTCTCTCCCTGCAAAAAGCGATACATGAACCTCTTCAATGCCAAAGCAGATGCATCTGCTGGAAGAAGATCTTGCAAGGAGGGTACTGAATAATCAATTATCTCATTCAGGGAATCTTTTATTCTTTGTGGTAGTTTTTCCTTATACTTATCGGGGATGAATCTCACCGATGCATTGGCAACTTGTTCCTCAATCAGTTCATACAATCCGACCAAATGTTTGAGCTTTAACTCCGCGTTTAGTAAATTATTAAACCGAACATTTTCCGAGATTTCTGAAAGTGATGCCCATTTAGAGATGTATTCTTTAATTTCTATCTCTCCACCTCCACCAGGGGTACGTTTGACAAAGCAAAGAAGAATTTCCAAGGCTGAAAGGATATCGGACGGGTTGTCTAGTGAAGTATCCATTTGATTTTGCATGTAGTCATGTGGACCCGAAGTTCCCCTAATAATTGAGGCTCGTTCCGGGGGGATTGGTTCCTGTGGAATCAATTCTCTGATCTCTTCCAGAATTCTCACGGAAGATTGGAACAGCTCCATGTGGTATGAGAAACGTTCGATGTATAAGTTCGAGTCACTCAATGTTTCGATGTGAACTTTTTCAAAGACCAGATATCTGGAAAGTTCGATTTCAATCTTTTGCAAGTCGTAAATGATGTCTTGACCCTTTCCGATGCCCAAATTTCTCTCACTAAACTCTAGAATTTCATCAAATTCATCCTCCCATTTATATGATATGATATTATCCTTCCTGGCCTGATCGATAGTCATCGATTGAACAAAGTATCGAGCCGGGGTGTCATCAGATTTGGCCTCCAAAGATTCTTCTAAAAATTTAAGAGATCTACAGGTCCCGGGAGGGATGACCATGATTTCTTGCAAAAATTCATTCTGCAGAGAGACCAAGTATTCAATGATTGCGCAAAGATACACTCCATCATCCTCTGGTTCCATCAATCCCATGATGAGTCGACGATCTTGGTTCATTTTTGGTTTATGCTCCAATGTGTGACATTGATATCTGTCCACGTCTTCAATTACAACATTCCATGCCTCCTCAAATTCTTGGAAAGCCTTATTTAAGGTGTTTACCGAGTCGATGTTTGACGTCTCTGATTCTTTGTTAAAGAAATCGCGGAATGTCTGAGCCTGTGCATCCTTCCTACTTATGCGATAAGATAGCCGTGCAAACAAGGATTGAACGAATTTAACGATTGGCCAGAGATATTTTATTTTTGACAATTTACTCTCGTGTTTAAAGTACACGGCAAGGAACGGGAAGTCTTTTTGATTCTGGGACAAGTTTCCATTGTAGTGTGCTCGGAAACTTTCAAAGCTGTTGATTCCAATTTTTCGCCAGATTCGGGGCAAGAATTGAGCTTGTTGCTGATCGTCGTATGTCAACGTTTGATTTATCCAGGATTCAATGATATTGGCGTTATTTCCTTGCGCGGCTGATGCATTGTCAAGTATGGTACGGAAGTTGGTTATGGTTTCAGTTATGCTCTTGGTTTGCGGGGATACGTAATTCCTGGTGAAGTTCGTTTCCCAGTCTTCACGTTCATTGGGAGTTCCTAATGCAGATGCAGGCGGCGGATTTCGTGTCATCAGCGAGAGTATCGAGTGCAATAATAATGCCAAATTTTCATCGGAGCAATTCAAAATTCCTCTCAAAACGTTCCAATCGTTTTGTATATGCCCCATACAATATTGTTCTGCATTGGTAGCAATTTGATTATTCTTCTGAAGGAAGCCGGTCTTTGCCGTTAGTGGGGAGGCGCCAATGAGAATGTGTGCAAACAGATGTAGAATTCTGTAGGAGGTAGGTGGCATGGATCGGACACTGTGCGTAAGTGATTGATTCGGTGATTCTCCGATGTAGCCGGCCTGATCGTTACCGGCAATGGCTGTGATCGGTTTCTGATCCAAACGACGATTGCCTGCAGCCGATGCATGATCCGCGCCCCCAATAGTTCTTACTTTACAATCAGGACATCTTATCGCCTCCATGGCGTAACCACAATTGGCAATAACATATTTTGAACCACATTCACAAGTATATCTGTCAAAAATCATCGCACATAAAAAATAAGCACCCATTTCGACATCTTATAATAGCAAAAAATAAAGATCGGATTGTTTTACTTACCTGGTAACCTGACCTCCATTCGCTATGACGGCACTCAACAAAACCGATTCGACATCCGAGATGCACGCCAGTATGAACCTATTTTGACATGCGTCTAATTTATGCAAAAGTGTGGCGAGAGGTGAGGCATCCGGTGGCATGGAAACGTGTAATGCTACCGCATGAGCTATCACCGAGTCCACCATTAAGGTACCATTGTCTATTCCGCTATTGATAAAAAGTAGGGGATGTCTATTTAATATTAGCTTGTCGACCGTTTGTCTATAGATGACGGGTAAGCTGTCCATTGTGGAAACAGTTCTTAAAAATTCCGCCGCTCGCGTTTCATTTGGGCCCCACTCACGTGAAGCTCTGAACACATGAAGTCGAGTCATAATGAGTCCCAAGAAGGCAATTCGTGCATGAATATTTTGTGGCAGTTGTTGTAAGAACGGTTGAAAAGGCCCTTTGTCATTAACGCTATAGAGTTGTTTGAAGGAATCCTCGACGTGTGCATATTCCGGAAGGTGCCAGTATGGGTTGAATGGAAGCCTGTTATCATTGTTGTCATCCCATTGGAATGTTAGAAGCCATGGTAGAGTATGTTGTTGCCCTTGACAAAAGCGTTTCACGTCATCAATTGAAAAGTCTCTGGAGCGTAAATCTCGAAGGAAATAAATTTTGAGGGAGTGGATGAGCGGATGATCGGTTTCCATGTAACCATTGATCTGGGCTATGATTGCGTCACCATTCAAGTGACCAAGTTCCATCATTTGATTTAGCGTGATCGGACGCGTGAAATTCTCCTCATCGATTGTAGTGTCCCAAAGGCGACCGACAAATTCTTTAAGAAAGGCTATTGCTGAAATTAGTTGCAAAGGTTCAATTCCGGTGGCGATCAATGTTTTGGCGGCAGGATTAAAGTAATTCACCATCTCCGCTATCTCCAGTACTGAAAAGTAGTTTTGTTGAATGATATCACAGCACAAGGCTGCCATTAGGGAATCCGCTTTTTTGGACTTGAGACATGCGTTGATTATGCGTAAACGAGGAGAGATGGTTAAAATTCTCTGGGGTTCTGTGAAAAGCGCAAAGAATGCGCCCTCGTTCTCATTATCTTCTTTTAGGAAGATACGACTTATTATTGATCCGATCAAAGGGAAAGGGTCTTGGGAGAATATATCTTGATAGATGTTTTGAAGAACAGGTGATTCCAAAGGGATAATATCAAGGCATCTCATGATAAACGCGCGTCTGGGGATCAGATTCTTTTCATTTTTTTCGAGACCGTTCAGAACCTTGAGGACGTAATTTACAAATTCCTTGGAAAGGATTTCATTCCCATCAGAAGTTTGACCCAGTCTAATTATCTCCTTAATATTTGATAGTGGGATGTACTTGAAAGAAATCAACTCGTTACATATTCTTAATAATTGGTAAGAAGGTAATTTACGGCTCTTCATCAATTTTCCACTAAAGGTCAAAACTTTGGTGACTTCCCGTAGCCATTGATCAACTTGAGGATCGTTGATTCCTTCGATGCTGTTTCCGCATACCTTGTTAAGCATCATTGTTGTTACTTCCTGAATGAGGAACTCTTCGAAGGTATAGTTGGTGTTTCTCGATGAAAAGTCTTGAACAATTGACGGGCACATCTGAGCTAACTGCAGGTCCGCCAGAATTGTGTTCGAATTTATCCACCAGTAAACATGTAGAAGCACCGGGTCACGAATTTTTTCTTCGCCTAACAGTTGTCGCAATAACAAAGATAATAATTCGACACCATTCTTTCCACCATCACTGACAGAGGCGATCGTTACAAAGTCATTAAAATATTTATCCAAGTGTGGTTCAATCGATGGTTCCCGGAGATATGGTAACAAAGAATAGATGTTCGATTTAAATGTTTCATAGGTGAAATTCTCGATATGTGGATGGAGGTCTCCGGAGTCATCGCAATTTTCTCTATCCTGTTTAAGTCTATCTAATTCCGCTAGACAGGTGACCTTGAATTCGTCAATTTTTTTAATGAAATAATATGAAAATGGGAATTGTAGGTCGTAAAGATGATGCGGCAGCAAGTATCTATCCGGACCAGGTACAAACAGCAGATCGTCGATATTGACTATCTTGGGATCGTTGAACATATTCTTCCAGAGTGAAATCAGGGGGTTCCGCTCACTTCCTGGTTGATCGATGTTAAAGAAGGTTTTGATGGCTGATAATCTTTCAAGTACAAATAACATTTGTGCAACGGGGCGCCTGACCATGGTACGAATTCGAGCTTGAAGAGCCGCCGAAAAAGATGAATACGGATAGAGTAACATTTTGTTAGAAGCAACTTCATACTGCCAATCTTCAGGTGAATTTTCTTCGAGCCAAATCAAGGTTCGTTCCTTTAGGCATTCCACGAGCTCAGAATGTTTGATAATTTCGGAATGAAGAGTCCTTGCAGCAATAAAAGTAGCAGGTGCTTAGAAATCATGAAATTTCGTCAAAGATGAATGTTCAATATTTACCTGAGATGATTAATGGAATTCTCGGTAGACGGATATCTCATGCACAACAGACACCACAACAATTCCTGCTTCAATATCTCTTCGAATGGGTAAGTGGATTTCATTATGTTCGTCAAAGGTCCATCTAGGAGGGTCGATAGATGTTTCTCCTGAGGTGCCAACGTTTCAATTGTAACTTGACTCCATCCACACATAAAATTAAAGGATAAAAATTGGGTCTCTTGTTCTCTGTGAATGTGCAGGATAATGCACGCATGTTTGGCATCCGTATCCTCTTTTCTAATCCTCATGAATTCGTTGCGATATTGCTCAATGATGAATTTTGCCAATTTAATGCAGCCCGCGTTTGCTGTTGTCACGTCGCATTGAAGAACCAACATTTGGTCATTGGATTCCAACCAAAAATGTTTAACTCGATTTTGAAGTTGTGCCTCCGTCTTAAAAGTTGATAATTTATCGACTTGAACACGCATTACCTTTTCTAGACATCCCTTTACATCCGTGTTGATATTCGAGAAAGTATTTACAATGACCAGTAACGATTCCAGATCATCAATAGATTGGCTTAAAAACAAATTGACAAAGTAATCTGCTAAATGATCATGATATTGTTTTCTTGACGCGTACGATTTAAAGTATACATTTTTCCACCGTAGGCTTTCTTCCGTATCCATGGCCGATTTCGTGGCCCTTATAATCCCGTCCGCTGAAGCAATGGAAACGAGAGATTCCTTGCAAGTTGCAAGAATCGCTTCTTCGGTCGCATTTTTATATTTATGCATAGTGCTGATGACTAAACTCTGTAATGTTTCATCCGGATCGTAGCCAATGAAAAGATCCTTCAATGTAAAATTGTGTCGAACCGTGACGTTATTCTTACCAATCATGGTGGCCATCTGTTGTACCCAGTCCTTCAAGGTCTTTACGAGCCCACATTGTTCTTCCGAGAGGGCGTCCTCAATAGACATCTTTTGCTTTTCAAATCTATTTAGGAGAGGTGGGTCTGCTTCTTTTAATTTCGATTCGTCAAGAACCAGGATGCATCTAAATGTCTTATTGACGTACCTAGACAAGTTAATAGAAAAGTTAACATATATGTAATTAGATAGTTATTTTCCAATTGCGCCATTATCATCATTATTACTCACAACATCGGGTTGGCATATGCACCAAGGGCAACCCTTGTAAAGTATCTGGGGTCATCCTTACTTCCGTAGACAATATAGTTTTGGTTCCACAAGTCGTAAAGGGCGCCTGAATTGAGTGTAAGAAGGAAGGGTTTGCTTAATAAGATTATTTATGTGACTTGAGAAGATCTTCGAATTTTAGGAAATACCGTAGATGATTTCTAAATCGGTTAAAATAAGAGGTCTTCCTGCTTCAACACACATCTAAAAACGTCCAAGAGTTATTTATCGAAAACTAAGAGCCAGTCGACAAAAGATCGGACGTACCATAATTCGACTCAATACGCTATACGAATAGTCTTGCTGATCATCGGGAAATTGGGAACCCATTATAACCACAGGATCCAGTGCATCCTCCCTATACCTCTTCTCGTTGTATAGCTGATGGGTTAAGATATTTACGATGGAGTCGCTCTTCCCTATTACCATGAGATGCCTGGCACTTTCATCATTTAAATTGGCACTAATTAATGTCGGGATTGGAATTGGTCTGTATTCCCAATGACTATACTGGTTAAATTTTTGTAGGACTTTGCCGAAATAATTTTCACAAAGTGTTGCATTTTGTTCGGTGCCACCAAAATTTCTGGCCAAAGCCATTTGAATATTTTCCGGGGTCATCTCTGTGACCGACAAATTTTTCACGAGACCATAGTAGTCGCGAAGGCCATGAAAATTTGGATAGATTTGACCAGTTTGCTCGTATTCCGAATAAGCTTCCGCAAGAGGTTGAATTGACACCTTCTTTGCTTTGTTCTCAAGTAAATGAGCAGCAGTTTCAACGAGATCTTTGACACCAAATTTAGGCCTGAATTAAACAACAGAATTTAGTTAAAATCGCTTGCTTAAAAGTTCATACCGAGCAGTATCAACGAGAGATATTGTTTTACCTCTGGACCAACAAAGCTCTACTACTTTTACTATTATCAAGTCTCCAATTACTAATTCCAACAACTGAAACTGTTGGGCCGTCAGCAGGATAACTCGGTTCAAGTAAAGAGTGAAGAACTTTTAGGGGATTGTGGGGAGAAGTTTCGGCAAGTCCAACTAAACAAAATTTAAGATAAGAATATTTTAATAATGAAATCAGGATCGCAATATTTTACATTTAATTAGGCTACATCTACCTTCGTCAAGTAGAACGACGCTGATTATTGGAAATTCTTTTGTACTTGTTTCCTGAAATTTATTGGCCTTTTGAAAAACTTCCAGAATACCGTCAGAGGTCGAAGACGAAGAACCTTGGTACGGAATGAGATAGACCTAGTCATTAAATGTAAGGTGAATTGGAAATTCAGTTAAAGGAATTCTTGAATGAGTGCATACTGGTAAATTGTCACTTACCTGGGGCAATTTTCTGAAATAACGATCATTTGAATCAGACCCACGAAGACTTTGGCTGATTAATCGAATTGCTAGAGATTTTGAAGAACTATTATAATAATAAAATAATTGTAATAAATTTTTTGATTAATGCTTCATAAGATAATAACATGTGTACATTAATTAGGATATTGATTTGTGTTTAAATACCGACCCGGGTGCTCCAATAATAAATACTGGAATTTTTGTGAGAATGCAAACAATCATTACCAGCACATTCTCTAAAAGTGCTTCGTTTTCAGCCGTGTTTGGAGGCAAATTCATCCTTTTGATATAGTCTTTCTGTTCTTCACTAATTATTTTGCTGAAATCATCTTCGTCAATAAATATTCTCCTGGATTTAAAAATTCTAGCCATCTCCTTTCGATAATTTAAACGCTCCTCCTGATCGTAAATTCTAGATTGGTAGCAAAGGTAAAGAGCCAGAACAATGCTCCGCATTTGAAAATTCGGTTTCCCGGACACTTCGCTCGGATAATAGCGACTTTTCAACTTGGGACGATCTATGAAACTCCCGTGGAAAAACCTGATCAGTTTTATTGCTCTCTTTACATCACGCAAACTAACACTATATGGTTCCTCGATAGAACGAATGAATTCTTGAGATGCGAACAAGAGTTCTGGGAGCACAGGGTGATTTAAATCTTTAAGTAAAGTATTTGTCATAATTTGAATGTATTTCCGTTCATCTCTTTTTTGAAGGATACCGTAATCCCAAACATAGTCCAATAATTGATCGGGGAGTGGTTTTACTTGGTACAAAAGCATGTTCTGTTCTTCATACATTTTTACCTTAGTCTTCAACCCGGCTTGACTTTGAGATTTGGTTCGTAAACGATATGGATTACAGGCGGCGAACAATCGAATGTTCGGATGAATCGGCTTTCCCAAAAGTATCCGATGAGAAATAAGATCCGCCAGAAGACCAATATGATTGCAGGTATTAATTTCATCAAAGAATAACCAAATTTCCCCCTCCTCAGCCTCTCCTTGGGCCTCGGCCATAAATTCTGATATTTTCGATTCTGCAACTCCGGCATGAAGATTTAACGCTCGAAACTTGACTTCAATAATTCGTGCAAGATAGTCGATTAAGCTTGTCTATAAGATTCAATTTAAAGTGACCGTTTGTGAACATCTTGATTTAAAATGAGCAGTCATCACCATTAAAGTTGGATAAAAAGCTCACCTTTCCGCATCCAGCTTCACCCATTACAACCACGGGAATGTTGGCTCGCGCCCTCAATAAAATCAAAGCCATCTTGACTAAGTTGTCGGACGATAGCGCGTAAGGTTCCATCACGATGTCTTTCATTTTCTTACGTGCCAAACACTTTAATCGATTTAACAATGCATCCTCGGTCATTTTATTATAATCCTCCAATTCCCATTTACTTTTATCAATGGCCTGACTTCTCATAAAATTTTTCACGTTCTCATCGACCTTGTTTTTATCTCGGTATAAGGCACAAATTGAATCCGGGTTTTGAGACATGAAAAAGATTAACAGGTGGTTGGAATCATCCCACGGTTGGACGTCGATTTTAATATTTTCCGTTGAGTCTGCCTCGGTAGATTCTAGCTGTGTTGCCTTGGCGCGAACAGAGCGAGTCGCGAAATCCTTTGAAACGTCCAATAATTTTTGAACTAACGTGCTTCTTATATTTTCTTCGGTAACCATTTGTTTCAAGTTTTCAACGCGAAAGAAGGAGCTTGAGGATAATCGCACCTATTAATCATTTGAAGAGGCATGGGTTAAATTAATAAAATATCGACCTCGAAAGTAATAACAATGGTATTAATGATTTCATTATTTACCAATTGGTCGGCTAGGACGTTAACAAAAACTTCAACGAATCGGAATGATGAAATGTTATCTGCATTCTGGTTAAAGAAATATTTGGCTACCAACTCCTGGCACCTTCGTGGCGGTAGACATTGATTGACGGCACCTTCACCATGGAATAGGATGTCGTTTTCGTCAATCCGGTTTTGATCGAACGCATCCAAATAATGACATGACACTTGAATCGGACTCTGAATTTCGTTGGAAATAATTAAGTTTCTGATGTCCCATGATAGATGTTGCCTTATTAAACAGCTGGTAATGGGGAGGAGGTTAAGTAGTTGTTGTCTGATCGTTGATGCAACTTCAATAAAGACATCTGTTTTCGGAAGGTAGGTGATATCCACCTCACTATAGACGAATCCTAATGTCAAAAGCTCAAAAAGAAACATATTGACATCATTGTAATTATCGGCAGATATGATATTGATATGCAGACTCTCCACCTGACGAAGTTCAAATCTTTTGAGCTGGTGAACCAGTTTGCTAAAATTAACCCCGTCACTGATAAGGAAGCCACGAGGAACCTTTTGCCTAAGGTAACTAGATTGCTTAATCCATTCACTCTTGCCCTGTCCAGATAAGTCTGAGGAGACGCATACAGCATACGGACACAGTTGATGGTAGATATCTTTCATCGTTTCAACGCCTAGACCATTGGTAGCAATAACGTCTTGAGAGAATTGGTCCAAAATGTGATGATGAACTCCAATTTCCTGACAACAGATTAATGCTAATAGATAATCTTTATGTTCCTCGCGTGATGACCTTATGATGTTCACAAGATTATATTGAAGCTCAAAATCAAGCAATTCCAAATTCGCGATGCAAAACAGGTGATCTTTATACCCATTGTTGGATGCAAGAAAACAGCGTTTAATAAAGATGGAGAGCTCTTCCATGGTAGTAGACGATTTGCATAGCATAACTTGCCACGGTTCTGGACAACGTCCGTGATTTGCGTAAACTGACATGATAACATTAGGAACCAACAGTTTGCTATTGCAAGAAGCAACGAATAGCTTTCCTCTGAGCACTATATCAGAAGTTACCAATTCTCCTTTTGTCTTGAGCGGAACCGTGCGGGCCGGAATGTTACCGAAAATACCTTTTAACTTTGCGCCTATCTCGCAGAGGACTGAATAATGGTCCTTGTTTTTACCCGAAATGCGAAAATCTCCTTTCCTAGATGGCATTCTGGCCTCTCTGTTGACAAAATGGATGAGAACTTCACAATCCTCTTTGGTTCTCTTCTCTTCGCCGGTAAAATAGTCAAGAAAGGCAAGGATGTAGCGAGCTGGAAAGAATGTCAAATAATACTGATCTTCTTGTGCACGGTTAACAGTACTCTCCCTGGAATTTACAAGCAACGTTATGCACGAGACCCACAAATGCGAGCATAAATAAAAAAAAATCAATCAAGCAAAAGAATACCATTCAGTTGATTCTAATTTAAGAAGGTTAAGTAAATCGACTAATTCATTCATCTTATCGTCATTAGAGATTTTCTTCTCATACACTCGGTACCCAAAGTGTCCCATTTGTATGAGTTTGGTTCCGACATTATAAATTTCATGAACTATATCAACTTGACGAACAAATTCTTCCATAATCCTCGCCCTTGCTTTTTGTTCCTCCTCCGCATCTGCACTGGCGCCCATTCTCATGGTGGGCTTTGCTATTAACAAGGCACGCCCTCTCAAGTCTTGTAAATCGCTTAAGGAATATGGCTTCGACTTTGGATAGGTCAGGACGACAGAGAATTCATCATTAGTTTCGGTCCGTCTAAACGTGTAAGTCCCTTTCTCAACCGCGTTTCTTATCTTTTCTTTTGTAACCTCCCCACGATTTGAAATATTTTTGTACATATTCTGTAACGCCATATTACAGCTTGAACACAAGGTGATCTTGCTAGCTAAGGTTGGATTCGCACTATTAATTGCTGCTAGTTCGTTCAAAAATTTAATTATGGTCATGTTCCCAGCTTTATTCATTAGTTGATGTAATAATTGTTGGACTTGAATTAGAGAAGCAACGGTGTCTTCCTGGTTTAGCCTTTCATCGTTGAAGTCGTCGACACTTTAATTTGAACAAAACAATAGAAATAAAAATTTCAGTACGAACGATATTTTATGCACAATGGATAGGTCAAACATTCACCTACCCGTTAATGAGATTTTTTATATCGTGCTCGGCTATGGTTCTAAGGAATTCCAAAAATTCTCCAGCTTCAGATAATTCCTTAATTAAAGGCCAAATTTTTTCACTATCAATAGAGGAGACGTTTTTATTTAAAAAATCAAAGAAACTATTCAATTTCCCCAATGTCAAAATATCATCCTGGAGAATTTGAAGCGATTTTTTTAACCAATCATTCTCATTCTTTGGTCCATTAGGCAATTGGAATATTTCCACAATAGTGGACAACTGATCAAGACGTTTAATCCATTCCGGTAAAGACGCAAGTCTACTAAGGGTACCAACAAAATTCTTTTGACTTTTATCGAGTCGAACAAATTCTTTCATAAAGTCAATTTCAGCACCAACGTCTCTGACATTTTTCCAAAGATAAGTGGCCTCGGTGCACTTTAATTTCTCCCAATCTTTGCCTTTGTATTGTATACATAATTTGGCATACTCCTCGAATACAACGGGCATTATTCTCTTCGTAACGTTTTCGACAGTTAAAACCTCCGTTTCGGCATAAATATGCTTATCAAAGACGTTTGCAAATGTTTGAGATCCTGCAAACTTGTATGATTCTTTTGACATATCTATCGTGTCCTTGTGAAATTCCCAATGATCTGGAGACAGGGTATCCTTAATTGTGATCTGGAATGATCTCTTGGATTCATTATCTATATTAGCAATATATTCATTCACATCTGAGACCTTTGAGATCGGGCAGAAGTTTTCATAATACGTTCGAAGTACAGTCAAAGTGTTCTCGTATGTTCGACATTGCTTTCGGATGGTCGCAATGTCCGATTTTGATACGAACACCCCGGTCAATCTCTTCTTGGTACTGGAAAAGTCGAAAAACGTATAAAGTTCATCGTTGTCGTATTTAAGAATCAACTGGAGTAATTCAATGGTGATCGTTTTCTCTGCAACCACGCTCGCCAACTTGGAAATCTCAACTCGTATTTGTTGAATATGAGGATGGGCATGTAATCTGGAGACCTGACCTCTCGCATTGAAAATCAATTTCCAAAAGTCCTTGGATTTGAGGAAATCCTGAAGTTGTTCCAATGTTGTAGGTGGGGTGAAGAGTTTCTGGAGCTCGGTCATGATGTAACATAATAATTCTTCACAGAGACTTCATTGCGCAAAGATAAAAAAACAAGTTAGATCAAGTATCACGAAAACAAAGTTCCCCTGTACTTACGCATTTGGGATATTCAAGTCCTTGTTCTTTTCGTTCCCACAAATAAATTTTATCTTTTGCATGAGTTGTGCATCAGCCGCGACAATAGATTGCTTCAATTCCGCTTTCACGATTGCGACAAATTGATTAATAACATTTTGGTGCAAATTCGAGATCAGAATTGTTGCCGAAAGAATCCGCGACCCTGAGCATTGTTTAACGCGAATGTTAGCAATCCTCGACAAATCATCGTATAAAGTTTTCCGCTCGCCGACCAAGGCATACAGCTGTGACAAATATTCAAAGACTTTGAAAATAAATCGATCACTATTAATAGTAGATGAATTGAATTTTTCATTCAGACGAGCTAAAATACTATCAAACCACGACTTGCAGATTATGGGAATTTTGGGATTTTTATGTTCTGCGTAGCTGATTCCCTTAAGCCATAGGCCAAATTGTTTCACAAAAATATTTAGCAAATTAAAATCTTTCGACGTAGAGATGTTTTCTAATGCAATAAGAAATGATTCCTTGTCCCAAAACATGTTGTTTTCCAAAAGAAGTTTTTCTATTGATTTTAGATCAGCTTCATTCCATTCGGAACGAGAATATCTCAACAATTCATGAACCCTAGTTTTAAAAAATTCTGACGCTTCCTTTTGACAATCTGCAGGAAGTTGTTTAAAATTGTTGTACAAGGCACTCGCATTATCTTGTCTTATATTTAATCTAACACGCTCGAGAAAATATCGTTGTATTTGTGGATCGACTACATCAATATCCTTCCACACTGTAATAAGCGTTTGCATGGTATTACAAATGTTGATCAACCACTGAAGTATTATTAATAAAGAAATTGAAGAAATTAAAGATCATATTGTAAGCGAATAATTGTATTAATATAAAATTTCTTACTCGGGCAAGCTTTGAATATGCTCTTTCGTCGACTCTCTTCATATAAGGTCGTGCATGCTTGTTCCATTTCTTCAAAAAATCATCCAAATCGATGTCGTTATATGGTACCCTGATAATCGACTCGACAAAAGAGTAATGAGGATCTAATATGTGAGCCGACTTAAAAATCCTAATCCATGCAAACGATTTCTGAATGATATTATGTTGAACCACCATAGATACGACGGACGGCATTATGCCTAAGACATCAGATGGTAATGTGTCTTGTTGTACGGTCTCAAGTGACTCGATTAAATCAGCTGATGGAAAATGTGGAGGCAGTTTATCCTGGTAATGACCATTTTTCTGAATGTTATAGTACGCCAAGAGAACACACAAGAAAAGTCGACTCTCTTTGGTTTTCGCTTCGAGGAGACAATGATGAAGGAATTGGATATTGGTGGCACTATCTGTATGAACTGGATGGTTCTTCCTCAATAATTGGTATTGCATAATCTTATCCTTAATATTTTTCTGATTTACAGTGGAATATATTACAGTGACGAATGCAAAATCCCTGATAGTATGAATATAATGTTCTGCATTATTTATCCACATGTCATATTGATCATTTGACGTAATTACCAAGGTGCGATTTTGCAATTCTGTCTCTCCTTCATACACTACAGAGGACCTCCATATCAATGATTGTTTAATTATCGCGTATTTATATTTAATTTCCGGCATGTCTTCCAACACAATAATTTCGATCTCCTGAGATCTCCAATAAGTTGGAAATTGTCGATAGGGTCGCTCGAGCTTAACTCCAGGTGCATTCCAGTTACCCAATTCATCACAGTTACCCAACACTACCGGTTCGCCCACGCTTTCGATGTTTGAAGGCAAATGCACATGAAATGTAATTTTATATGTTTGGAAGGAATCGTTATTTCTGCTATTGAAATTTTTGAATTTTTTAACAATCCATGGTTGATAATTATCTTTGGTTGAACTGCTCGGTGGTCTATTGTGCGAGTAAACTTCACTCCGAATGTTATCTCCTCTTCTTTCAACATTAGATCGAGAGTTATATGTATAAGTTTCATTATCGTGCGAACTGAAATCTCCTCTCCTTTCAACACGAGATCGATTGTTATTCGAAAAAGTTTCATTATCGTTCGAAGGGCCATTGTCGGAACCAGAAACCCCTTGTAAATCAGCTTCAAATCCTTTCTCTTTAAAATTATTCCATATTTGTTCATTACCTTTGTCTCTATTATTGTTTAAAATATCTTGGCTTCTAGGTCCTTCCCTACTAGATCTTCTTCCTTTACCTTCGCCTCTCCCAGTGTTATCATCCAAAAAGTCTATAAGCGTAGGAGATTCAACAGATTGGCTGCCACGCTTATTATGGGATGAAAAGGAATAATCTTCATTTGGATTTACTAATGTTTTGTCGCTAGCCCAGACGGTTGGATCAACGCGATTTGCTCTAGGGTCTGTTTTATTAAATGGATCCCTATTTCCGCTAAGTCTATCCCCTCTCCTTTCGACTTTTTTATTTCTATTAATGAATGCGTTTGTAGACAAGGAAAGATCGATAGAACTATCTTGGTCAAAACGATCATCAGGGGATGAAGGCATCTCGCGAGAATTGTGTTCACTATTGTCGGTATGATCGTCAACAGTAGTGTTAATAACCGAGTCCACGTAAGCATCCGCACTTTCGGGATCCATGAAAGGATCTTCCTTTTCCTCTTTGGGTGTTTCTGCACGTGTACCACGTACACTTGATTCATTTGGGTTTTTGGAAATGGTGTGACTGTCATTGAATGGATTTTCAGATCCAAGTGCAGTGGCAGGGGATACAGGTACACTTGAGCTAGCACCACGTATACTCGTGGGTTTGTTCCCAGGCGTCGTTGCAGCCTTGGGCTGTTTTGGTGGTCTTTTAGGAACAGGAGGAGGGGCTCCACCAACATTGCGACGCTCTAGATGTCCAACAATGGGTTGTGCTGGTGATGCGGATCTGCCATAATCCCTTCTACTAGAGCTGTCTACAGGTGTGAAATCCTGTCGTGCCATTGACGCAATGCTGCTAGCCGGACCTTTAATATCTCTTTGCGTAGGCGTGACAGAACTTTGATGGTAGGAATTTTGACTGACATTAGGCTGCGTTTGCGATGCAACTCCATCATAAGTCCTATTAAGATCTTCTATAGCTTGCGTAGGCGCGACATTTTGTCGTGCTAATGATGCGACATTGCTATTCTGTCTTACGGCTTGTGCATATGTGGATCCGGTAACATTTCGTTGACGAAAATCTTGGATGACATTAGGTTGTGCTGGAAATATGGGTCGACCATGAATCCCTTGGTCAGAATATTTTATAGTCTGCTCTGGTGTGATACTCTGTTGTTCTATTGGTGCAGCGTTGTTGATTGGACCCACCATTTGTCCGTGTGTAGGCGCAACAGGGCTTTTCTGATAAAGATTTTGATTAAAATTATTTCTTGCCGGTGATGCGGATCTATAATTGAGATCGTTATTGAAAGTTGGATTTGCAGCCTGTAATGGTGGTGTGGGCACGTCAGGACTTCGATCGATTAATGATGTCGGATCTGTAACTTGTGTAGGAGGTGTAGATACGTCCGAACTTATTCTGTGGAGATCTTGACCAAAATTCCGTTGCGCCAACTCATTAGAGACCCTTCCACCGGAACCTCCGATAATGTTTGGATTCGAGGATGGTTTGAGATTCTTACTCGATGCTTTTGGCCTCGGTGGAACTGGTGGTTTGCTGGTGTCACTTCTGCCATGAATCAAGGATTCATTCGAGGACTGTAATTGAGTATTGTCACTAGTCTTATACACAATAGTCGTTGTTGAAATAGTCTCGACTGTTTTTTGTGGAACAACGTAGACTAAGGAATTTTCACCAGAAGAAGGCCGATGAGGTGTAACTTCGGGAGGTGCAAAATTATTTGATGGACTTTGAGGTTTAATTGAATGCCCAATTTCTGAGCCTACAGGAGGCGGTAAAGCACCGTCACGCGGCGGTACTTCATGATGAGCGACTTCAGGCAATCTGGAAATGTCCTGATCCTTTGGGTCAACCTGAGCTGCATTATTTTCAGCTGCATCCACATCTTTAGGACCACCACCCGAATCTTGATTAATTTGTGTGACATTAGTTTCGATCTCGCCTTGAAATTGGACATTATTCAAACTTTGAATCACTGAGATTGACTCTTCACTTTGAACTTTAACAGTAACTACCGGAGTTTCTGGGATACCGTCTGGGAAAGCGGGTGTTGATTCACCCTGACCCTCTGTGACTCCAGGAGGTTCCGATGTACTATTCGAGACGTGTGATATTGACTCTTCATCTCGTCCCTGAGTTTCATCAATAGCCCCAAGAGGATCGGAAACGCTATTTGGGCTTTGAAACGCATGCGTTGACTGAGTTGGCACATCACTTTGACTGTCTATTTTGCCATTAACCTTAGAGGGTTCTGGGCTACTCCCTGGGACATTTGATGTTGACTCTTCACCTCGTCTTTGAGTTTCATTAATAGCTCTAAGAGGATCGGAGAAACTATTTGGATTTTGAAACGCAGTTGTTGTCTGCATTGATCCTTCATCTTGATCTTTAATTTCATCATTATCTCTAGAATGTTCCGAGGTACTTTCCGGGACAACGGATTCATCTTTTCCTCGAGTTTCCACAATAACTCCAAGAGGATCCGTGATATCTTGCGTTGAATTTTCACCTTGAATTTTATTGACAACTCCGGGAGACTCAGGAGTGGCTTCCAATCCTTGAATCACCTTTTCAACATTAGATCTTTCACCACCATGTTGTCCTTGAAGTTCAAAGGTATCGCTCGAACTTCGAATTATTTCTTTGACATCAGACACGGACTCGTTATATCGACCGTGAGTCCCATCTGCAACTACTGGAGGTTCAGAGAAGTCATTTTGGTTTTGAGCCAACTCCGTGAAATCGGATGTCAACTCATCACCTAGGACTTTAACCTCTTCAACAATCCCATCAGACAGGCTTTGCGAGTTAGGCTGGTGAGATTGTGAAATAACTTCGGGTATTGAATCGTCACCTTGATTGTTATTTTGATTTATAGAATTGGTGTCATTGCCCTGATTTTGAGAGACAGCTCCGGAAGAAATAATTTCTTCATGATTTTCATGCAAACGCTGTTGAACTTCAGCAGGGTTTTGCAGAGGATGTTGAATCACATCGGTATTCTCAGAAGTGTCTGCAAGATTATCCACATTCGTCGAAGCATTTTCCCGTGTAGCAGAAGACGTAGACACCGTCGGATTCGCATTTACACCAGAATTTCCATCTTCAACATTTCCTTGAGTATTATGAGCCCTCGACCTATAAAGAAGTAGTAATCTATCCCTTGAACTTTTATCGGATTCTGCACGCGACATTGCGTATTTGAAAAACAAACTACAATATTGTGAAAAAAGAATTGGATGAATAACAAAGAAACGTATGATGCTCCAGAAGTTATACAAAAGTACGCCTCGGAGTGATCGGACTGAAGTCCACAAAACCGGTTTCACGATTGACATTTGTCCATTTGCAGAAACAATAACTTATAATTTTAAGAATATCATGTGACCTGCAAACCTCATGTTACACGGTTAACTTTCAAAAACATCTCGATACCAACTTACATACATAAAGCACAACAAAAGAAATGATCGCCCTGACTGACACATAGATGAACTCTTTCAGGGATGCAACTGGTTATTTCTGTCAAATAAGTGAAAATTCACGGAGATGCAAACAAAATTTACATTTAATATACTACCGTAGCGATTTTTATTTTAGGATTTCGTGAATTGTGTTGAAGAAAAAATAATAATCGTAATTTAAAATCAAATTTCAACCAAATTTTTTATTTAGTTATAATATCCACCATCAGGATCATTATATGTAACATTTCAACATCCTCGTCACGCATGCACATCGCCACCGCAGAAAAAAACTTTTTTCTTATAAAGGAAAATGCCAATTATTTGGATTGTCCAAATTTTGATTGAAATTCTGGTAAAGTCATTCTTTCAACCTATAGCCATGGAATCGAATTAAAACACGAGTGACGCACATCAATTCGAAAAAAAAAAAAAGAAAGACACACACCCCCTCTACAGGTAGACAAAAGATTCCAACTTCAGACTCATCCTGGATCACAATCACGTGGCGCAAATTTTTTATATTTAAATTATGATATCGGGTCATCATGTAATGTAGTTTGTTAATGAAAGGAGAATCAATTTCCAGAGACCCCTGGTATCATTGGCGCCGCATGCATGCAGTTAGAACACATATAGCACATGATAAATAATTATGAACATATAAAAATATCGAATACCTGTAAAACGTATAACTCATCCTCACTAAAATAACTAAAGTTCCCCGTCTGAAAATGTTTGTTCAAATAATGTAACGCCTCCTCCGCCCTAGATCATGGACACGCATGTTAGACAAGCATCTTCGAGTAAATAAGAGACCTCGAAAACTTTCAAGGCATCAATTATTTGAAACTCACTCAGAGCTCTTATCTTTGTTGAAAGTGTACTCCAAATAGCTTTTAAGTAGCGGGTGAATCTTTATGTACCAATCACCACCCTTGGTTATTCGTTGCTAACATTGTTTAAATGAGCAGATCATTATGATATTCGATGAGCCTTCATAAGCGATAAGGGAATGCTCGTGTACCTGGTTGGTAATATTCCTAATCCGTTGGATAACATCTCGAGCCCAAGACAACAATAGTTTTGGTGTAATTGTCACCACACACCCTTTGTCAAGGGAAAATAAAAAAAAGAAAGATGAATAGACAAAGCGACAAGGTAATTCAAGCGTTAAGCAAATTACGCACCATTAGGGAAACATTCGACAAGGCTTACGGGATCGGCAGAAACGAGATCCCATCCAAACAGACGAAATTTACAATTTGATTGGTGTTTTAATTCAATCAAGCGGGGAATGTAGTTTATTTGGTTAAGGTATTGAATGTGAATCTGCGAATTTTTGTCCAGATAAATTTTGCAAATTTAAGCATTAGCCTTCGTTCTAACAGAAGCAGACATTCATCAAATCCAAGGGTAAAACTTACCAGCACCAGATCAATACTATCACTGCTAAAACTAGGATCGTAGTTCACCTTTAAACCCTTACATGCGTCGATCATCTCCTTTACTTCGAAATTGTCTTTAGGTCCGAAAACTGCAAAATTTGACGCGTTACGACACACATCCGGTAATGCCCCGTAATTATTCGATAGGATAGCTAGTCGCACGGCGTGATATGTCTCGTTCGATAGAAATCTAAAATCAGACAGAAGATCTTGATCGGATGGTTGAGTGTATCTCGAATTCGAAATATCATCGATGCACACTCGCTTCGGCATGATCACGAATTTTTCGTGAGGACGTGGTGAAATGTTAAGCGTTACGCACGTACGCTGTGAGTTTGGAAATACTAGCCAGCACAGCTTCTCCACTTTGTTAAGCCAAATGACTCCAACCTGCGTGGTTTCAAGTAAAGTGAATCACAAATTATTTGCGTGCGTGTGTGAGAGAGACAAAGAGAAACAAATATAAGTCAAAGAAAAAGAAAATCAGAAAGTGCATTGGTAAAATTAGAAATAATGATTTACTCACGATCTCGTTCCACTTCATCAAGGTATTTTCTTCTTCAACATTTTTCTTCGACGTAGAATTGTGCTCAACTGCATTCATCGTAAACATTGGATAATTTTCAGGATCATTTGCATCAACCAACCTTTCAGCATAGGCTTGTGGCAGCATGTTGATCATCCATAATTGAGTCAAATTCCTTATCATCTCCCTGAAATTTCAAAATTAGTTCTTTAAATTAAATGAACAATAATAATAAATGGTAATAATAATAATAATAATAATAATAATAATAATAATAATAACAAATTATAACCAAGCATTGGAATAAATTATTGCTGTGAACTCACAAGGTGGAGAGATTTTTACACCTTCCCTCCAATGGTTTGATCACCACCTTTCCACCAAATTGCACCAAATCACCTTTTATTAAAGACCCAACCCATTGTGTTGAGCTATTTCTAAAAAATATATATATATATTAGCATAATAAAATAAAATAAATTAAATTAAATTAAATTTTTTAAAAAAAAAAAAAAAAAAAACAAGAAAGTGATCAGTATTAACTGAATGCAACAAAATTTCTAGGCACAAAAGATAAAGTAGAAACTAACACGAATTGATGATATCGTCCAGAAGGTTCCACTTGTAAGGGGTGCTCATCAGTTACTTTCTTGACTGACTCCATGTTTTGTCCAGATGCATTTTCTGTCAGCATTGAGGCGCCATCCACTTTTTGTGAACCTCTCCTGAGCTGACTTTGCTGTATATTATCTGGAATGCTATCTGTCAGATGTGCAAGTGTATCTACATGCTGAGGAATTTGTTCTGGACTCCTTAGATCTTCCTTCTGATTTCCTAATACGTCAAATGAATACCTAAATGGTCCTGATTGTTTCTTAACTGAAAACTTTAACTTGGGAGGATCTTCCTCTTGTTTCAATGGAATATCTAAAGTGAACTGCGAAGAATTGTTGACATCTGCCGTAGACTGGGGCATCAGTTTCGATGTCTCCTGTGTGCATGGTACATTTTGTCCAAAAGAATTTCGAGAAGTAGCAGATAAATTTTTCTCGATCTGACTTTTTGATTCATATTGTTCTTCCAACAAATTACTCAACGGAATATAATCTTTTTCAGTCCTCTGGATTTCTAATTGCTTATTATCCTGCAATTCCGGGGGGGCATGTAAATGCTTATTTGTGTCTCGCGGTTTTGAGCAAATTTCCATCTCCGTTTGTTCGTCAAGTTGTCCAGAGTGACCAAGTGATGATAAACTAGAATTGTTTGATTTTAGACGATCTGGTTGTTCAGATTGTTCTAATGAATCATGAGATAGATTGAAACTTTTTTTTGCGATTTTTTTTCGCGTTTCTATTTCAGTTTTTTGTTTTTTCGGACTTTGCTCAGTCCAAGGATCATTGTCCTCCGGTTCACTAAATTATCATAATTTTTCAAGGTTAATTCACCATCATTTACAGACGTCAAAAAAATATGCAATAATCGTTCGTGATACGTGCTTCTTCACTTTATCCAAAAAATCGGGCATAATACTTCCAGCGGTCCTCTTCGAAGAACTGGTTTTAAAAGGAGCAGACTTCTTTTTATTGAAATTTGATGAAGGACACGTGCTCATCGGCACATCAAATGATTCCGAGGAGATTAAATTGTCCTCTGATTTGATATTTTTCGCGCTCTCCTCCGTAGTCTCCACAATCGTGCTCGACGATTTCTTTGTCATCTTAGGATCTACTTCCATCGGCGGACTGGACGGACTAGGTAGATCGCCTAAATCGCGTGCCAGATTTAAATTAGATAATTGAAGATTTTTACATAAAATAATACCACGCAGCGCAAATGTACACCTGGTAATTCCCATGCGTCATAATCACTGTTTGAGATATCGTCAAAAGAATCATTGTTCGATTTCTTATCCTCGTTAAAGTTAGATGATTTACAACTGTCCTTATAATTAGTCGGATTTATATTTTTATCATTATTTGTATCAACCTTTGCATCTGATTCTTCGCTCCCCATCTCAAGAAACACGACTTGTTGCATTTTCCCTCGATATTTTTTTCTTTTCCCGATGTTTGTCGTAACGACAACATTCCTGGAATTTTCGTCGCAAGCAGCTGATGCACGTTTTACGCCTTTTTTTTTTGCATTATTCTTTGACCTTCTACTCGAACTTGATGGTGAAGACTTCCGAGACCTTGAACTCTGACTCCAAGCATCATCCATAGAATCATCACAGGAATCAACGGAAGATGACCTTTGTGACTGAGAACCCTGATTGGATGGTTCTTCGGTGTGAGATATGTGAGTTGGGACATCTCGAGATTGCGACCCTTGACCTACGCCGGAAGCTTCTTCTCCCTAAAGTTTTGACCAATTCATTAGCTCGCAACCCAATAACCCGATTCATTTAAATTGCCATGTACCTGATGAGACATTCTTTGAGCGGCACGCCGATTAGCATCTTCTTCGAACTGCCTGTACTCCTTCAACAAGTGGTTCGCGTTGATCAAGTTCCTCGTGGGGTGCCATTTTGGATCAAAGTTTTTATCTGCAAAATATTATTTTATAATAAATTATTTGTAAACCTTGAAGATTAAGGTGATCGAATAACGTTTTACCTAGATAAGTCACAAGTGCATATTCTTCACCATCATGGACACGCATGTCTATTATGCCATCAATAATCGATCCACTTCCTGAACATTCAACGTTGTCATCCACCGCTACTCGGCTAGAAAAAATTTAATAAATTATCCTATTTCAGGGCGTGCGGGTGGTGGAACGTACCTCGACTTTTTAACGCTCTTTCTCTTACTCATGTTTGACAAAAGTATGCCTCGAAAGTTTATCACCGAGAATATCTTCTAATTATCAAGGAGAGAGTAATCTATCTACTCGTAGGCAAAAATAAAGCGTATATCGATTAATCAATTAGTAGTGCGACTCGAAGTTTATTTCAATAGTTACGTACGTGGTAAAAATTCAAGCTCAGCATCATCTAAAACTGTGATATGGTATAAATATAACACCAGTTGTATGTTCCACATTATTTTAGTGGATCACCAATAAAAATGCAGAATCCGAGTTGCCAACTTCAAAATAAATTACACAAGATTTCCTCTACCATAATTTCCACGGTTTTCAATTAAAAAAAAATATGAAATATTAGAATGAATAAACAAAGCGATCAAAACTCAACTAATCAATAAAAAACAAAGCGCAATCTAAAAAAAGTCAAGTCAAAGACAAAAAAAAAAAAAATCAAAAGAATTTTTTTTTTAAATTGATTAAATTATACAAATGAACAGTAAATATTTATAATTTTTTCAACTTTATTATTTCATAAAATAATACTTATGATAAAAAAAAATTTTTTTTTTATTTAAAGATTTTTATCGATTTCTTTGATACAATTCTAAAATATGAAATAATAACAATCTCGCAAAAAAAAAAAAAAAAAAAGTATTAAAAAAAAAAATTTTTTTTTTTTTTAATAATTATATAAAAAAATATATCAATTATCCTTGGAATTTTATAAATTAAAATTGCAATTATCTAAAGGTATAATAAAAATCAATATAAAAAACGCTTTTTATTGATTATTTAATAATATAAAAAAATATTCGCAAGAAAGTTTTATACTTTTATATTAATAAAGACCAACTACTTTTTTTAAAACAACTTAAAAATAATTTTACAAGTCATTTCATTTTTCTTCTTTTATTTTTTTTTTATATAAAAACTTGATTTTTGGCAATCAAAAAACATCTTTTTTACCTATAGAAAAAAAGTTTCAAAGGAAAAAAAATCAATGATATAGTATTAAAAACTTTTTTCTTAAAGTAAAAATATAAAAAATTTTGTCTATATTTATAATAAAATTACTATATTTTTAATAACAATTAATGAGATCAATTAATAATAGAATTATTATAAAATTACTATAGTAAAATTATCAAATTTTTTAACCTATA